TACTCGTTACATCAGAAAACTTTTTTATCTATACCTAACTGTGTATAATTATGTCGTCGTCGCTTGGGGTAGAAACAGATAATGGTTGTTCAACAGGAGATTGTGGAATATTAGACGATCAAAAAATGTACGGAAATATTCATATCTTATGGCTAAGAACCGTGTCATTATCTTCTTCATCTGCATATAACTTACCAGTTACATTCAGTAACACTTTGTTAAAGCTATACTGCAGTGAAGACCATTGTCTAGAGTACATGCAATCGATTAAAGATGAAAAAATAATTTTGATTATATCTGGCCAAATTAGTGAGAGTTTTTGGTTAAGATTAAGATTAAAGTCAGATGCACTAAATCTTGATTCCATTTATATCTACGATACTACATCTCAGACTATTTTCGATCCGAACACTAATTCAATTAAATGATTCCTCATTTAGATTTTCTTTAAGATTTCCAAGTTTGTAGAGGACACTTTGAAGTAACGGTAACCTCAAAAAAACATATGAAACAAAACTTTTGTGATTGAATTTGAGTGAGAAAAAATTTAAATACCAAATGCCGCCAAAAAGCTCTTGTAAAGTGCTTTTTTCTTTATTTTCTTACTATAGCCTGAATAAATAAGCTTTTTTGGAAATCAGATCGATCAGAATGTAGCCTCTACAAAACTGTATCGATCGCCCTACTTTTGAAAGTTTTTCAATGATATCTTAATACAAAAAACGGCGTATTGTGAAACCCAGTTTTGGTAGAAAGCTTCATTTTGCATGAGAAAGATGGTGCATCGAGAAAATTTATTTATTTATGGCTCAAAATATGTCAGTAATGATTAAAACGAATACGAATTTGTAGAAAATTGAATGCTGATTCAGAAAGTTTGTTTTAGGAAAAGAACGAAGCTCTTTCTCTATATAAAACTATTAATTAGATCTAATTAACTAATTTTTTGAAACTAATGAGATAATTGCGAAAAAGAAAAAAACTTTTGCATCACCCGTTATATGTTCTGAAGTTTTTTCGCCTCACTGACATTATTTGGTTGATAAAAAAAATTAATTACTTAATACAATCATGTTCAATTTTTGAGCACAGGCTACTATTGAAAAATTTCCTGACCGTTCCTCTTTCGTCATAAAAATTTGGTTGATATAAGCTTTATTCTGTCAGAATACAAGCGGAAAAATATTCCATTATAGTATTCTAAAACTATCGAAAAACACAAAATCAATTTTGTACGAATACAGATTCGAACATGTAAACTTAGCTTTGCAGTTAACTGCAAAACTAAAAAGTTTGGTTCTCACCTAAACCGATAGAGAAATGTGCGGAGAATATTTACTATGGGAAAGAAGAAAACACTTCTGTTCTTTCCTTCCTATTACTAACTAATTAGTGCTAATTAATGTTAACTTAATCTCCTCTACCAGCTTAAAGTCCCATTTGTAAAATAACGGCATAACGAAAAATTTAAACAATACCTCATCTGATAGAGAACTTCACGGGCTAGAAGAGAAACTGTCTTAAAATTTGTAGAACTCATTTCTGGCTGTTCAAGTATGAATTTTTCTATCGTACCGAGCATGTTTCAAATTAAAAAGATATAAATACTAAAACCCTTTTTTGAGTAGAAATGAGATTAGGAAATACCAAATCTAGCTAAACGCAGCCGAATCGTGTTTAGATATATTGGTTTAAACATTGTGTATTGAACAGTATTATGACCTTTTCTGTATGAGAATACTGTAAGATCGAACATCACATATAATTTTTATCATCAGAAGGGAAAAGATCTCAACATTCCAACATCAAAGTAGTTAGTCACTAACAAGGTGCCTTCATTTTATAATATTTCTGAAGTGAGGAAAATCTAATGATTTCTGACCAACGGCTTGTCCGAACGTCGCGGCGTTACGTTTTTGACGCACTAAACTTCGGTTATCTCGGAAACTAACGTAGCTAGGAAGTTCGTTCAAATGTCAATCTACCCAATTCATCATGCTCTACATATTCTGTGAAAATGAAGTTTTTTGGATGTTGCATTGGGCTTTGAGAAGGATTTTAGTGTTCAGTCACAGCGTTACGAAAAAAGACTCTTTTTTTAGAATGCTGCTACGAAAATCCTGATTTGCTGCGAAATTAGTTCTCCAAACGGAACATTCCTAGAGCCGATCCTGTAGAGCAGCTAACGGGCTTTCGAATGGTAAGAAAATGTTTCACCTATGTTATTAGATTCACCTGAAAAACACAAAATATGTGTTACAGCGTTACGCACTTTTTTGTCAAGCATATTTGAGGCACTTAACACGATAGTAAACTTTTGATTTTCAAAACTTCCTGTGTTCTTTGTATATTTGATCGATCTGCGCAAAAATCAAGTTGCTGTATCAAAATAAATGCTCAAAAACTGGGCAGTAAGTCGGAAACTGCACACCTATGTACAATTTGTACATAGCAAGTAAACTCGAAAACAAATAGGCCATTTTGTAGAGAATTCAATTCTCTACAAAAGTATATGTTTAGAAATTTGTTTTAAAAAATGTTTTAGGTTAAAATACTAAAAATCCGATTTCTGAAAAGTTCAAAACTAGGTTTTTTGGATGAAAAATAAACTTTTCTGAAAACGAGTTTCAAACGGATTCTTAGAATAAAAAACTGAATCTAATCATCTATTCAAAGCTTTCAATCTCGAAAAATATTTTTCCAAAAACTTGATCAGCGAAGTGTGCCGCTGCGTGGGCAAGCCGCCAAGTTCTTTCATTAATTCACCTATTTGGTTTTAACGAATCTAACATAATTAAATAAATAAGCAACAGATTAAAAATCGTCTGTTCAAGAGTATGATAGTCACTGTAGCGACAAGAGAAACAATGCAAACAGGGCACTTTTCAGAAAAAAGTTATCTCTCTGTTTTTGTTGCTATAGATGTCTTGACTAGGTATCAGGATAATTCTCGATCAAAAGTGACACACGATCCTTATTTCACAGTTCAAAAATGAGTTTCATTTATAATGAGTAATAAAAGCAGATAATAAAAACTTTTATTGATATATAAAGAACCGGTGTTTTCATCATCAAAATACCTTAAATAATGTTGACAAAAACATCGTGCTTCTAATTGCTCTGTTTTTCAGCTACCCAAGCAAAAACGACCCAATTTTTTGGGTTATTTATCTAGATTCAGGTCCACGTACATCTAGATGCACGTGGAGCTGAATCTAGATAAATAACCCAAAAAATTGGGTCGTTTTTGCTTGGGTAGTAGGGAAATGAATATGAACGTCAATTCGACATCCTACAGAGACATGCAGCACGACTTATCAGATCGATTGTTGAACATTTGTGCAACCACACAAAGAAAGAATGAGAAAGACACTAAAAACAACATCCTTAGTGAATGTTGTGACATAGTTACCAAAACTAGGTACTCTGCTACAAGAATGTCATAGGTGCTTGTGAGTAAAATATTACTTAGCGGATATCTAAACGGCCAGCTATATTAGGTGATCGTGTGGAGAGAAAAATGCACGTCATTCCTGTAAACGTATGTTTTTCTTTTGTATGTCTGAACGCGTAGCAAAATGGTGAACGAAAAATAAACTTGGTACCTATGCTCCCTTAAGTACAAGTAATTGGGTACTTCTCAAGCAATATTTACTTGAAAAGAATTCAGGCATCTATAATATTCTTGTAGCAAAGTACCCGCATACGTACCTAGGAAAAATGCAAGTCCTTGTGTACCCATCGTCAAGAACATTCAGTACGGATAACATTGAAACATTCCTAATTAGATACTCATTTGAATTTAAGCACAATTTTCTACCACATTAACACAACTTGTCCAGTTGCACACACGATATAGCACATTTTTAATAGCTAATCAATCATATAAAATGAATACTAAGTGCATTTCTATGTATACAACGGAAAAAAATGGCATCAGCAGTTCTTCCGATAATTTCTCGTTGGAAAAGATTAAAATATGCACATGTTGTTGTTGTTTTTTAATATATTATAAGGTACATATAGATTCGTTTGTTATTTTGCACTAATACTAAATTGAACAAATATTCGGAACTATTCGACCTTTCACTGTCCGAATAACATGCTAAGATGTTGCTTGCCATGTCTAATTAGTCTGATAGGCTAAGACATTGCATTTATAAAGGATTCACCAGAGAAACGTACACCATAAATTTCTACAAAAATTAGATGGACCATTTTTCAGCTTTCCCAGAACATTGAAAACTGCCAAGTTAACTCCCGGTTAATTGCCATTTAACAGGCAGTTTACTGGCCGTTTTTAGGTGGTTTTTTGATGGTTCGGATTGTATGGTTTTACCACCGTAAATAGATGGTTTTTCAACTGCCTAAAAACTCCCAGTAAACCGCGTTCTCATATATCGAAATTTCATAAGAAGCTTTAAAAACGGCCAGTAAACTATCAACAGAAAAGAAAGAAAAAAGAGTAATAACGTCAGATGTAAGGATTGACCCTACGTCTAACGCATTATTAGTAGTCTGTCACTCTAACCACACTCCGAAAAAAAGGTATTTTACAAAATTAAAAACAGGGTATCTGCATTTGTTACTAATAAGAACCAATTTCCGTTTCTTAGAAAATCTTCTTTTGGTTTTCTGGGTTACGTTTACGGGTATTTCTTGCTCATACGTGAAGAACACACCTTGTTCTTTTTAAATCGCCGGTACTAAATCGAAACGATTTAGTGGAATACGAACGAAAAAGAAATAATTCCATTTAACATTTTTAAACATATAATATGTTTGAAAATATCATATTGGGATCTTATACTGAGAAAACCCCCCTTTTTGGTACTGTAAAATACAACGCACCGATGCCAGAAAGAATTTTAAATACTCGCATCGAGACTTGGCAAAAAAGATTGTCCACTTCTCGAGATTATTGAAGCTGAGTATGATTTTAAAAACAATGTTGAAGGCATGCTTGAAAAAGTTGACTTTTTTGAAGGAAAAGCATTAAAATGCCCACTCTGCTTTCACCCCAAATAGGTAAAAAATTGTGCTTTAGCCGAATGTCATATTTTTGGATTCTTTACGAAACACCTTCTGGAAAAATAAAGAGGGACATTACTTATGTTAGTTTCTCTTCAAATTGCAGGCAGTATTTCAGACTTTCCAGCGCTATTTCTTAAATTTTTAAAGAAAGAAAGCACTGAGCTAATGTTGAATTTGGATGAAATGTTAATTTATCTGTATTCAAATTAAAAGTCAATTACTTCGTACACATATGGCGATGCTGAGAAGAATAAGATTTCGTTTTGTTATCTAAAATGAGTAGTATAAATAGCGTCGATCTTCAATGTAGCTCTTAACTAAACTAACATTTATCAAGTTAACATTATCGATAACACATACGATTTTCATCTTTCATTTCATTCAACGTTAACATGTTTGTCGCACTTGTATTGTTTGTCTTGCTACAACAATGTTTTATAACTGTCACAGGTGAAAATGATTCCAGTACATCAGACGAATGCTTTAAACCGGAAACTTACGATGCCGAACACATACTTGAAGAAAAAAAGGTAAATTAATGTTTGCCTGAGGTTATCTGCATAGGAACTGCTTACTGTGTTTTATATGAGTAGAAATTATGTTGCAGTTATTATCAAATCTTCTGTTTTAAAGCGAAACTTCTAAAATTTGAGAATAAAATATGTTTCTATCAATTCTGAGACTGTCACATAATTTTGTTCGGTTTGGAGCAGTATGAAAATATCATCGAGATTTTCATCTTCGGAATGTATCTACACTTACATGCTTTCCTAAAAGTACATGTTCTCTTTTATTTTAGGTCTGCAAGATTGTAACACCGTATGACATTATAAAGCCGATCTATCGTCAGTTTGAAAAGACTTATGACCAAGGAAATGGAACAACAATCGCACACCGATTTTTTACTGAAGATGGAACATTTATATCCTTTGATAAAAAAACGTATAAAGGTTATGACCAAATAGCAAGTGGCTATCAGGTTGCAATGGATGCTGGTGCAACAAACTTTACGTTAACACCATCAACTATTTATGCGAGTCATCCATTTTTTATTGCAACAGGCCATTATAACTGTACAATAGCTGCCGGAAATTATCAGGAAATATGGAAACAAGTAAACCAAAAGTGGCTTCTGTTTATTGTTATTGTTAATTAATAACACAATAGGACAATCTTCTATTTATTGTACCGGTATGAATAATGTTTTACACCTTTCAAATAACGTTACTATATGGTTTCTGAATGACAGAGAAAAATTGTATCCTCTTTTTCGTCAACACTTCTTTTTTCTATAAAATATAATTAAAAAATGCCAGAACGTACCGATTTTTCAACCAAGAAAGAGCTAATATTTCGAATCATAAATATTTATTAAACGTGAAAAGGATGAAGGTAAAATATCATTAAGTAACACAACTGATTGGTTAAAAACAATATTGAGAGTATCAAAATGTGATAAAACATGTGATTTTCACCATAATGTAGGGAAATGTTTAGTTCATCTTTTGATATATGAGCGGTCTCTAAAATCAAACTTTCAAATGGTGTACCTAACGAGTGGAAAAAGAAGATATCACCAGAAATCCAAGCCAAGACAAAATGTTATCGAAAACTATATGAAGCAGAAAGTATCCTTTACAAAAGGGTGCAAATGTGAGGTCGCTTCCTTACGTAGTTCTCGGTCAGTATAGCTTTTGCTTAGACTGATAATCTTAACATTAATTCCAAGCATGTGTTTTCGGCTATGATGAGTCTCTTGGCAATATTTGTCTTCAGAAGAAAATTCAAGAACCTAGTGAAAATTTATACTAAATGAAACAATCTATTTTTGGTTGTTTTCATAGGAAATTAAAACATTCATAACTCAGTCAAAATCGACTCAAACTACACCAAAATTTCAGCATGTACTCCGTTTAAACTATCGTATACTCTAGATTTCAGCAAAGATTAAAAAAAACAATGGAAAGTACTAGTTTTTAACAGGTCTTCCAGAAATCTTTTGAAATAAAGTAATGCTTTTTCTCTTTCAGAGTGCAGATGGTACTGGTGTTAGTTATTAGATATTTCTTGTTTACTGTTTCCACTGAATGTGAATCTTTTATTTGACTGCATATGATAATTTCACCCTACAGCTGCAGATTTCCTCAGACCTGAATGGCTTTTTATTCTAACTTGTACTCAAAATAATTGTAAGCCTGCCCATTTTCGCTAATTTTTTTAGATATGTCAGAACAATGTTAAATGAACAAATTTCTGACAGTAGAGTAACGGCCTATGCATAAGTCGAGCGCTGTTTCTACATGTTCCCAGTATTCTGGAGGCTGCTCTTCCAAACAAAAAACAAGCGAATGAAGTCTGAACTACAAAATGTGTATCAAAAAAAATTTTCTCTCACAAACCTTTATTGAGAAAAAAGTCAAAAACCCAACGTCACTAAAAATGTTCTGGTAAAATTTTACTAAAACATATCAAGAAAATCTTTTCACTTGTGTCAAAAATAATTACTTTTTACTCTAATCAAATACATGAAAAAATTCTATCGACCTGATATTTTTAAAAAATTTTCAAGTTCCTTTTTGGTGGTTTTCTGAAATGCTTGCTAAAAGACAGCTTTCTTGAAAATCGAGATTTTGATTCTATCATTTAAGGCTTTTCAACAGAAGCGTCACACAGGAAGTAAATGAGATTACATTTTAATCTACATAAGATTGTTAAAAACTAAATGAAGATCAAGATTTCGTTCAAAAATTGGAAAAAAATTCATCTGTTAATTCAAGAATTGGCAATTAATGCTAACTAATTGATTTTCTAACGGTGATCAAACCGGCGATTACTTCTTCACCAAAAACCAAATAAAAAGAAAATCTATTGCACACTGTTCGAAAGAGCATTTCAAACACTCTTAGATGTAAGAATCAGTCGTTCTTCAAACTTATCTTTACACAAGAAATGAACCGTTTCGAAGACGACAGAGACCGGGTATTTTGACAATTTTCCAGAACATTTTTAATGATGTTTCGTTTTTGAATTTTTTCTCAATAAAGTTTTTGCTAGAGAAAAGTTCATTTGATACAAAAGTTATTTTTTGTAGTTCAGATTTTGCTCTTTCAAACAAAAAAACAAAAGCGAAATCTCCAGAATAGTGAGAACATGAAGAAACAGCGTTTGATATTTTGTGCAAAACGTATGCATAGCAGGGGTGTAGCCGGTATCAGAAATATGATACCGGTATTAGGTATGCACCGATTCGGTTAACCGATGTTTCGGTTAAACCGAAACGGAAATAATCGAAGAAATTTTATAATGTGCTCAGTTTTGATTGGGCATGTATCGGTTTCGGTTATTAACCAAAAATCGACCATCGGTTATAGCCGAAACCATCGATGGTTACTTCGGTGGGGATGGTCGGTTTTCGGTTAAGGCCCACCCCCCACCCAAAAATCCATTTCTGCTTACGAGCATCCGATCTTAATGAAACTTTCAGAGATGGTGTATCTAGGTATGATGACCTCACAGTAAAAATTTCAGCTCGAAATATTAAACCTATCAAGAG